ACCTATAGAATCATGTGCAATTAAATAATCTATAACAACACACAGTGATAACCCCTCTCAGAAACTCCTGAATGCACGTGAAAAAGTAAATAACTAAACATAAGTGAAAAGTTCACAAGAATAATCCACAAAGTGATATATGGGATGTCCTTCCTAAGAGGAGCTAAGAAGGATATACAGTATAATGATCTGGAGCCTGTCTGGAGGAGAGTGGCCATCTAGAGTACTACCACTTGCCATTGCATTCTACAGCATGACCTGCTTAGTTCTAAGAAGCCAATTTAATCTGGTGAGAGCTCTGCTTGTACACAATTGTGGACACTGTGGTGGAAGGATGAAGAACTACTCTGATTTTGATGCTGATCACTTTGTGGATTACTTTTCACATAGCATCTCTGCCCACCCCTCTCCTCCACTGTCCATTCACAAAAGCTTTTGTATTTGTGAATGGGTTCACATAATACAAAGCGATCTGTGTTAAGGTGGGTATAGACCAGCGGTTCTCAACCTGGGGGTCGCGACCCCTTTGGGGGTCGAACGACCATTTCCCAGGGGTCGCCTAAGACCATTGGAAAACACATATTTCCGATGGTCTTAGGAACCGAGACACCGCTGCTGTCTCCGGCGATGTGTGGGCGGGATGATACGCTGCTCCTGTCACCTCCGGTATCGCTCAGCAGCTCCGCCTCCTCGCCGCTGATTGGCCACCGGAACTGTAGCTCAGGAGAGGCACACAGGCGGCCAATCACCGGCGAGGAGGTGGAGCTTGGAGAGGAGGAGCCGAGCGGCAGCGCGCGGAGATCGAAGAAGACCGAGGGAGCTGCCGGAGCGAGTGAAGAGGAGAGCGGCCAGAGAAGGAAGACAGCTGACAGGTAAGTGAGAGAGCAAGCCCAGGCTGGAGCAGGGGTCAGCAAAGTAAGTATCATTGGTGTCAGTGGGAGGAATAGTGCCCCATCATTTGTGTCACTAATACCAATGATGGGGCACTATTCCTCCCCCCACTGACACCAACGATGGGGCACTATTCCTCCCCCCACTGACACCAACGATGGGGCACTATTCCTCCCCCCACTGACACCAACGATGGGGCACTATTCCTCCCCCCACTGACACCAACGATGTGGCACTATTCCTCCCCCCACTGACACCAACGATGGGGCACTATTCCTCCCCCCACTGACACCAACGATGGGGCACTATTCCTCCCCCCACTGACACCAACGATGGGGCACTATTCCTCCCCCCACTGACACCAACGATGGGGCACTATTCCTCCCCCCACTGACACCAACGATGGGGCACTATTCCTCCCCCCACTGACACCAACGATGGGGCACTATTCCTCCCCCCACTGACACCAACGATGGGGCACTATTCCTCCCCCCACTGACACCAACGATGGGGCAGTATTCCTCCCCCCACTGACACCAACGATGGGGCACTATTCCTCCCCCCACTGACACCAACGATGGGGCACTATTCCTCCCCCCACTGACATCAACGATGGGGCACTATTCCTCCCCCCACTGACACCAACGATGGGGCACTATTCCTCCCCCCACTGACACCAAACGATGGGGCACTATTCCTCCCCCCACTGACACCAGTGATGGGGCACTATTCCTCCCCCACTGACACCAACGATGGGGCACTATTTCCCCCCCCTGACCCCAATGATGGGGCACTATTCTCCCCTCCACCACACTGACATCAATGATGGGGCACTATTCCTCCCACTGACATCAATGATGGGGCACTATTCCTCCCACTGACACCAATGATGGGGCACTATTCCTCCCACTGACACCAGTGATGGGGCACTATTCCTCCCACTGACACCAATGATGTGGCACTATTCCTCCCACTGACACCAGTGATGGGGCACTACTCCCCCCACTGACACCAGTGATGGGGCACTATTCCTCCCACTGACACCAATGATGGGGCACTACTCCCCCCACTGACACCAATGATGGGGCACTATTCCTCCCACTGACACCAATGATGTGGCACTATTCCTCCCACTGACACCAGTGATGGAGCACTACTCCTCCCACTGACACCAGTGATGGGGCACTACTCCCCCCACTGACACCAGTGATGGAGCACTACTCCCCCCACTGACACCAATGATGGGGCACTACTCCCCCCACTGACACCAATGATGGGGCACTATTCCTCCCACTGACACCAATGATGGGGCACTATTCCTCCCACTGACTCCAACGATGGGGCACTATTCCTCCCACTGACACCAACGATGGGGCACTATTCCTCCCACTGACACCAACGATGTGGCACTATTCCTCCCACTGACACCAACGATGGGGCACTATTCCTCCCACTGACACCAACGATGGGGCACTATTCCTCCCACTGACACCAACGATGGGGCACTATTCCTCCCACTGACACCAGCGATGGGGCACTATTCCTCCCACTGACACCAGTGATGGGGCACTATTCATCCCACTGACATCAGTGATGGGGCACTATTCCTCCCACTGATACCAACGATGGGGCACTATGCATCCCACTGACATCAGTGATGGGGCACTATTCCTCCCACTGACACCAGTGATGGGGCACTATTCCTCCCACTGACACCAGTGATGGGGCACTATTCATCCCACTGACATCAGTGATGGGGCACTATTCCTCCCACTGATACCAACGATGGGGCACTATTCCTCCCACTGATACCAATGATGGGGCACTATTCATCCCACTGACATCAGTGATGGGGCACTATTCCTCCCACTGATACCAATGGTGGGACACTATTCCTCCCACTGATACCAACAATGGGGCACTATTCCTTCCACTGACACCAATGACATGGCACTACTCCTCCCACTGCAAAATTACAGTTATGAAGTAGCAATGAAAATAATTTTATGGTTGGGGGTCACCACAACATGAGGAACTGTATTAAGGGGTCGCGGCATTAGAAAGGTTGAGAACCACTGGTATAGACGATTAGAAAATTGACCGATCAGTCATCCGACGACCGAGAGGCGTTCGTTCGTTGGTCGAAATCGTGGCCCACATTAACCAATCTAAAAAAATCATTAGTTGGGCAATATGTAGTGTTGACGTCTTTTGTACAAGTGGAAGTGATGCAGTGTGCGTGTGACCTTGTAGCCACGCCCTTCCGGCCATAACGAGCGATATACACAATTACCAGCAATGAGTATAATATAGTTTATTAAATGACCTATATACATAAATAGTGATACATAAAATATAATATGCAGAATTCTGGTTTCATTATCTTATTAGGACAATCTACTTTTAACATTTGGATTTTTCATTCATGTTTACAAAGATTCCTTGGACATAAACATCCGAGTCATCTTCTGTTTCCGCTCGTGTGTGATAGCGCTTGATAGATTTTTTTTGTATGACCGTCATACCACCGCATAGAAAATCGGTCGTTCATATGCAAAACAACAACATTTTTCACTGTTGTTCAACCAAATTTTTCGTTCACAATATATCGTTATCGGTTAAAACATCCTGCTGATCAACGAAGAGAAAATAGTTCAATCAGTGGTTCTGCAAAATTTTTCGGACAATTTTCTTATCGTGTGTATGGGGCATTAGGGCGGGAGCAGGGGAGTTGCAGGCACAGAGGCTGCATGCGACTCTACAGCTGCTGGAGCTGACACCAGACGGTCCAGTGTCAATGTGCAAGAAGAATAGCGATAGCTGTACTCCTGGTGCTCAGTAAAAATGCCAGTTGTAAAAAACATGTTACATAGTGGTTGAATTCTTGGAGTTCAACTTAAAAGGTGACTCATACTCAAAAAGTAAAGATTTGTTATTTTGAAAGGAACATCTGTAAATGTTAATTTCACCTAAGCAGAACCACGAAAAAAAAACAAGTGCAAGTGCTGTGCCCAGGTACTCCGGTGTTTTAAAGTGTAAAACCCTAACAAGACACTTCTCTGATTTGCTCCATTTTGGTCTGTGTAATCTACCATTGGAAGCACCTGTCAATCATATCAGAAATTCAGAGCTGTCCTGTGTCCTCTGCACACTTCCTGCGTTAAGAGTCCTCAACAAGTCATCCTAGTTCTTATCTTGGACTACAGAATGATTAGTCTTCATGTTGTAGAGACCTCAGTCTACAAAATTTCTACAGCTTAAGAGTTTAGATCAACAGACACTTTTTCAATTCTTGTATTCTTTCCCATTCATATGTATTTATTCTGTGTTGTATTGAAATGCATAAGCTTAATATTGCTCTATGTCAGGTTATTATTTCTTTGTAGTATACTGGCATCTAGTGGCAGTTTACAATCACTACAATTTAATTGTGTGATTTGGTATCTCCATCTGTCCCTCTTCCTGTTTAGTGCTAGTTAGTTTATTCCTAGCTAGATCCTCTTTGTTTTTCCATGTTCTGTCAGTCAGCGTTAGTGACCATACTCTCTGGACAGTCTAGGTCTAAGGCACCATGATTAACCACTTGCCTACCAGGCACTTATACCCCCTTATTTACCAGGCCAATTTTCAGCTTTCAGCGCTGCCGCACTTTTATTGACAATTGCGCGGTCATGCAACATTGTACCCATATGAAATTTTGATCATTTTTTTCTCACAAATAGAGCTTTCTTTTGGTGGTATTTAATCGCCACTGGGCGCTTTATTTTTTGCGCTATAAATAAAAAAAAAGTGCAAAAAATTTGAAAAAAAAAAAGTTTGTTTCTATTATAAAATTTTTCAAACAGGTAATTTTTCTCCTTCACTGATGTGCGTGATGAGGCAGCACTGATGGGCACTGATAGGCGGCATTGATGGGCACTGATAGGCAGCACTAAAGGGCACTGATAGGCAGTACTAATGAGGTGGCACGGATAGGCGGCACTAATATGCAGCACTGATAGGCGGCACTGATAGGTGACACTGATGATGGGTACTGATAGACGGCACTGACTGGCATCACTGCTGGGCACTGACTGGCACAACCGCTGGGCACTGACTGGTGGCACTGACTGGCAGCACTGCTGGGCTGCACTGGTGGGTGGCACTGGTGGGCAGCACTGGTGGGTGGGCACAGGTGGGTGGCACTGGTGGGCACAGGTGTGGGTGGGCACAGGTGGGTGGCACTGCTGGGCACAGGTAGGTGGCACTTCTGGGCACAGGTAGGTGGCACTGCAGAGTGGCACAGGTGGGTGATCTGCTGGGCACAGGTGGGCGGAGCTAGTGGGCGCACTGCTGGGCACAGGTGGGCAGAACTTGCGGGTGGCACTGCTGGGCACCGATCATCAGGGCACTGATCATCAGTGCCCTGATGATCGGTGCCGATCCTCGCTCTGACAACTGCCGATTCTCGGCAGTACTTTCCTCACAATCTGACAGCGTGAGGAAAGTGCAGTCGAGAACCGGCACTTGCATTTCCCTGTGATCAACGTGTCATTGGACACCGCTGATCACGTGGTAAAAGGCCGCTGTGATTGGCCTTTTACCACATCACGTGATCAGCTGTGTCCGTAGGACACAGCGATCACGGAAATCGCCGGGTGCGCGCCCCCTGGGGCACGCAGGAGAGCGCGTTCTGGGAGGACGTCATATGACGTCCACCCAGAACTGGCCGACCGCAGTGCAGCCGTCATTCGGCTATCTGCGGTCGGCAATTAGATAAGAGCCTACCCTGACCGCCGGCCACGGGAATAAGCAAATCACTGCAAAACCGCGGCAACTGTGGTACCGCGATTTTGCAGCGTTTTGCATTTTCCCATGCTTGGCGGTCAAAACATTCTTATCATGAACACGATTCTTCCTCCTTCGGGAGAAGAAAGTTTAACCTCACCTAAACGCGGCAGCGCCTAAACTCTGCTAATAGCCTTTATGTACATGGACACATAGGATTTTATGGAGTTGAGTTTAGGAGCTTTGGCAAAAAAATGCCAAAAGCTCTTTAACTCGAGTTTAGTTGCTGTTCGTGTACATGGGGTCTAAGGAGGTATGTCAATGCATAAAGTGGCATTTGAAACACAACTTACAGGGTCTTTACATGGATAAAACATGTAATGCAGAGATGTACTGCATATATTTATGTCTTCTTTTGTCTTGACAGTCTCATAGCTGTACAGCTGCAGTGTGAGATTACTTTAGCTCATCGTTTAAAAAGCATTTGGAAAGGGTCAGAATTGCTTACCAAGCACCCCCTTTTTCCTCCAATGTGAATACAGCTTGAGAACCGCCGCATCCCTCTTAACTTTACATTTCTGTCTGGGGATCATTATGGGATTAGCCAATAAACTCTGTGAATTCTGTGTTATGGGTGTATTCTGTATTAAAGAATAACTAAACTCTAAAACGAAAAATGAATAGTTTATTGCTTGCCAGGCCTTAGATGTAGTAACTGCATTAGTTTTCATTTTTCAGGTTAAGAACATTTTCAGCAAGTACAGAAAATACTGGTTGATCTTTCCAGAAATTAGGTGTTAACTTTCTTCTGTAAACTACTCAGTTCAGCAACCCCATGTAAAGGCAGACATGTTTGAAGTCCAGTCTGGGTGGCAGCCATGGCTCTCTGCTCAGATACAGTAAGGGATAGAAAGTGTGTTATTTTCAGGATTGCTATGAGATGAAAAAACCTGAAAAATAAATAATGCAGCCATCACATTGATGTGAATGTACAATATATGTGTAAAGTGTTGCGTAAATTGACGCCAGTACCTGTAATACATAATAATAGTATTCACATCTAAGGACTGGTAAACAACACTATATTACAGTTATAGCTTAGATATGCTCTAAAGCCAAACTCCAGTAACCATGAAAACTCTCCCTTGCAATGGGGCTGTGCCTGCACTGCAAGTGTTAACTGCACATTAAGACTACTTTCACATGGAGGAGTTTTTGAAGTGTTTTTACATTAAAAAAGAGCGCCTGAAAAGCTCAAGAAAAATGCTTCCCTATGTATGTGAATGTATATCTATATGTGTTTTCACACTTGCAGTGCAGTGTAAAAACTCCTGCTTGCAGCACCTTCGGGGCATGTCTGGTGAGTTAAAAAAAAAGTTCCATAAATGCCTTTTCCCATTGAAATCAATGCCTGAAAAGTGCCTAAAAACGCCTGAAAAGCACCTGAAAAAGGCCTCTTGAAAGCGATTTTGGAGCAGTTTTTAAGTCACATGTCCTTTAAAAATACTCAGAAAGCACAGCAAAAGTGCAGTAAAAATGCCTATGCAAGCATTTTTGCTGTGTTTTTGAGGTGGATTTGTATGAAAGTAGCCTAAAGGATAAGTTCACCTTTGGAACATGTTACGTGTTCCACCTGTTTTTAGGGTGGAACATGTAACATATTCCCATAGCTGCACCCACGACCCACCCCTCCTCCGTCTGACAGATAATATGGGGAGAAGTTTCCCTGTACTATCTGTCAGATTTGAAAACAGCATGGCCGTGCGGGACTCCGCTCACACGGCTGCGTCATTCAATCATGGACTTCTGTGAATGAATGAACTGCACTTCCCGGCAGCTGTAGCATCTGTCAGCTTGTAGTTTTCAATGAACTACTGCGGTGCTTCTTATCAGAATGTCTGCTTGGCTGTACATCCCGTATGGCTAACAGATATTCTGACAGGTCTGCAGGAGACCTACATGGCATCAGCATCTACTGATCGCTGGTGCAATACTTTCCAGGCTCCTGTAGACAAAAATAATAAATGCACATATTTTTACCTGCAAAAAAAAATGTGCATTTATTATTTTTGTCTAAAAGGTGAACTTATCCTTTAAGGTTTAGAGGAGAGTAACCAATCCTCCACTCCCCCCAGCAGACGGTGCTCCCCTATGCTCCAGCAGTGCGCTAGCAGTGTGGAGGGACTGAGGATGGCATAACTATATTTTCTTTACTAAGTCCCTCAGACCTAAAAGAGCGATTGTTCCAGTTTCCTGGAGTTGGGTTTAAATATTTTTTGTCCAAAATTGAACTGTTAAAGCAGCTAATTGTTTGAGGCAGTTAATTTGTAATGATCTAGCAATGTCCAGCTGTGGGCGGCACAATTCAACCTTCCTGCAGCCCAAGTTATATCCTTCAATATATGTTGAAAGAGCTCTGGAAAGCATTCAATTATATCTTTGAGCTCTCATAGTACTGCTTTTCAAAAGCTTTTTTCTATTTAATGCTCTCTTAAATCTCTGGCCCGTTCTCTAATAATTACATAAAAGCTTCAAAATAACCCACACAGCAATGTCTGTAGGTTATCCCTCCTCTAATTCTGATAATCACACATTGCAGCTGAATATCCATGTATACTGTAATATTTTTTGACCTCCTACTAAGATTCTTTGTGCAATATTTTATAAGAATTTACAGAGATCAGTGAGGAGACTGTTTCCATACATATAAGTCGCGGATAAGAACAGGATATTATGTACAATCTAGCAAGGCTTAATAATATTTAGATATGAACTTTGCTTTACATCCACTTTTTGTTTCTCCCTGTGTTACAATGCCATCTAGTGGGTAAATATGAGACTTACAATTGCAGTAAGTAAAAGCAAAACGAACAAAAAAATATCTAATGGAAGCAAGATTTCACAAGCACTAAGAGAACTGCACCTCCCAAGGGAATGGATTTATTAAAGGGCTTATTGATTTCTTACAATGATATTCGTTATGGAGCTTTTCTAATTTGCAATCAATGTTCACTATATTACAGGTATCCCAGAATCCCTGAAGGACTGCTTTTTAAAATCTGCTGAATTGGTGATTTGTAAAGAAACCTGAATTAAAAGAAATATGCAGGCAGAGTCTGCACAGGATATTGTGGAACAGGCAGATTTTTCAGAAACAGATGGAGAATATCCTATTTTGCAACTCATATCTTTGGTGGAGAGGTGCTAATGGAGCTGTCCCCAGGGGCAGGCTGACCATTTGCAAACTCGGGCACTGCCCGAGGGCCCGGGGTCAGTAGGGGGGCCCCATGAGATGCCCCTGGTACCTTTATCATAGGCTTTTTTGAATTTGGGCAAGGACACAGTGGCCCCATGATCCCCTATTGCCCGGGGGCCCCATGAGTTGTCAGTCCACCCCTGGCTGTCCCTGTGTACTGTGAGGGTCCAGTGTGTGAGGTCTGGAGTCATTCCCTGTATGCTGTCAGTGTGCCAGTGGATTCCCTTTCCTTTCCTGAGCCCAGATGTTCGCCAAGGATCATTTGGATATATATTCATGCGCATTATCATTGTGCTTCTGGTGAGTGCAATCATACTACAAACCCTTATCACGGAAGTCACGTGCACAGAGATTTACGGAACACTTTGGACTTATTTTATGCAACTTCATATCCTATTTTTATTCATATTTATTCATCAATATTAATCAGTTCATCACTACTATTATTTGTGTGGAATTATTCATTATTGTCACAATTGAAATTCCACTCACATTTATTTTCATCAATTCTGACGATACACTTTGTGTTGTGGTCACTTTAGCGCTAATACCTTTTGCTTTACTTTATATGCATTTGTCACTTTATGAATTTAGCGCTGCATTATATATTTACTTTGTCATTTTGAGGATATAGGGGTTCATCCTTAATGCCAGCTGCTTGAAAATAATCGTGCGCACTCGCTTGTCACATATTTTACAAAATTTCCAACAGTGAATGTGGATTTTGTTCAGTAAAGTCCGTTCCTTCCAAAATCAAATGTTGCAAACAAAATGGAAACAGCCCATGGTACCACTTGATTATAACAAAAGCAAACTGAATTTGATCATATTTAATGAAAAGCTCAACTGTGTCCTCCAGACTAATACCACAAAATTTGAATGGAAGTGGGATCCATGGATTCAGTATTTGTCCTTAGACTAGCGAGTTCTTGGAGAACCCTCTGTCATTTCTTTCTCTGTTCTTTATTTTCTACTATTTTCTCTCCACTACGCCTTTCCCTCAGTTTCAGTTATGCTTTTCCTATTCTTTCTCTGCCATTGACTTAGTCGTTATCTCAGGTTTTTGATAAACCTCTTTGCCTTCCCTTTCTCACAGTCCCTTTCCTTCCCCTCTCATTTTCCTTTACCTACTCAATACCAATCCTATTGTGCCCACAAGCATAGATAGATGTTATGGCTCACTATGATCTTACATTTGCTCACCACTGTTTTGTTTTACTTGTTAGTTCTGCGATGATTGTTGCTAATGTTTTTCACTTTATAAGGCCCATTATTGGGACATATGCTTGCTGTTCTTTATGTTTAGTACTCAACCTCCTCCTTCCATGCTCTGTAAAACACCTATGTG